CATAAACCATGTACAGGTGTCCATTTTATAAAAATCCTGTTTTATTGGAAAGGCCTGGCTATGTCCCTGTATTTTAGGCTTGGAAAATAGGGCAGAGTATATCCAAGGTTTCTCTTGAACCTAATCTGAGGAAGTTTTTTTCTGGTCTGTATTTTCTTTGGTACAGACTTAAAGAATTAGAAGAAAAGTCAAAAAAGTGGGAGTCCAGGCCTGAAGATACACACCTTATAAACTGTCTGCAAGACAAATTAAGTGAGAGAGAAGAGATTATCAAGCAGCTGGTGGTAAGACTGTTTTTTATATGGACATATGTTTTTTGTAATCTATTGTAAGGCTCTATTCAGTGTTTCACACATTGCTTCACCCTGGTTGTTTCTTTCTGTTCTGGAATACTTTGACAAATGAGTCTTTCCATACCAGCTTTCAACAAATGCATGTTTCCAGACATGTAACTTTGTTTCCCTTCAGGAAGGAAGAAAATGTCAGCATTCACTTGCAGCCAACACTGAATCTTACAGGAATCGGTCATTTTCTTTCAACCCCAATACAGCATGCCTGACTCCCTCCATGAAGGTAAGATGAACAATGCAATTAAAATCACAAATTGTGATCATTTTATTACTATTTGAATCATATCAGGACAACAAAAATGCTATCCATGGTTTATGATGACATTCAGTAGAATTCTTTCCAGTGCCAATGTAGAGTCAGTTGTTGAGTATAGGAGAAAGTCATTAGAAGTATATATGCAACATAGATAACTGGTGTTTAAGCCAATATAAAACAACAGAACTCTGACATCAGTCTTCCATTGGGATAAGCATGGCAATTGCTTGCAGATTTGGGATGTGCTAATTGGGATATTGCATGCATCAAGGCAAATTATGCATCTGTTTGCGTTGCTTGGTATCTGCCCTTTGTCATTCCAGCCCCTCTGCATGATATTTCTACAAATATCCATAGAAAGAAGGGAGGTCAAATTGGTGGAAAGCACCTTCATGTGTCAAAAATTTCAGGGTCAAATACATGTTGTTTTAATTGGATGGCAAAATGCATGGATACAGCATACCCTGGAAATTTAATTTAAATGCCTATAGAAAAATATAGAAATCTTCCTATCTGGGTGTTCCTTGTAAGGTATTTGGGAATGAGGTATTGTTAAGGTTTCATAGAATAAAATGTAAAAAATGTGTATGTAATGAAGTTTTCTGTTGCAATAAAAAGCAGAAGAAAAAGGTTGAGGTGCCCAGTCGTGTTGTCAGTGTTCCGAATTTAGCTTCCTACGCAAAGAGCTTTTTGAGCTGTGACTTGAGATCAAAAAGAAGTGCTCCTCAAATAACAAAATCTACAAGCTTAGACCGGAGTTCTGGCTGCCTCAGGGTGGGCTCTCCATCTACACAGTCCTCAGACAGCACTGCTGCCACAAGGTATTTGTCCATTTTGTATGATGATAAATGAATTCTTATTTAGAATCTTGTAGGCAATTCAAACACATTTGACACGAAATACACAACAATGTAAGGTTCCTGCTGTGCAGTGAACTCTGTGTTTGGTTTTCTGCAGACAGATCCAGAACTTTACTGCAAAAGTGGGCTATAATCCCTGCCCAGCAGACCTTATGCTTGCAACCCCTCCTGGTAGGAGAAAAAAACCAAACGCAGATCAACCAAACAAAACACACACACAGACACACACATACACACAAAAAATGCAAAAGGACCTGCAAGTATTTTACTAAGAATGTAATTAATTATTAACATGGCATCTTTCAATGGTTCTGTTAAGGATGTGTGTCTTCCTTATTTTTATTGCCTCACCTTGCACTTGGTAGATGTGGATGTCATGTTTTTATTTTAAGAAGTATTTGAATGAACCTAGGCTGATAATTTAGCAAAGGTTAGGGATTTGAAAACTGATTAGCAGATACTTAACTTCTTTTGTTTTTTTTCTCTCTGAGGAGCTTAAATTCTTCAAATTTTCGAGTTATGTAAATGATGTTCTGTGTTTTATAACATAAACTCTCTCTTCAAGAAATAGTTAAAAATGTATGTAGCTACTATACAGTTAAAAAATCCCCAAACTTTACCACTGTATTTCAGGGCAAAATCTAGCCTTCTCAGCTATCTCCTGGAGGAGATTTAGTTATCCTGTAAATTATGTGCAAGAGAATTCTTTCCTTGGGGGCAGATGGTGCTGACTGCTGACAAAAACAACCTGGGACACAGGCTTAGATCCTCTTTGGCAATTCCCACTTCTTTAAGATACAAACATGCTGTGTCATCCCAGATGACTGCCAAGGCAAATGGGATTTCTGTTTTAGAGGGAAACAAACGTGCAAGGAGACTCAGCTTGGCTGCTGCTCCCTTAATTTTTTTAAATCAGTCAATCATAAGTTAAGTCCTATTTGCTACCATATGTTAAAAAAAATCCTGAATTATGGAAAATCAGGGACTATGTAATAGGATTGATTATGAATCCTAGGTAGTGTTCAGATAGATCTTTCCATTTCAAATAGAACTTTTACCCAACATTTTTAATGCATAAATTGTATTTGGTATTTTTAAGAGGGAATTGCAGCTGCCATTCTCTGATTTTCAAGACTTCATATCCTGATGCATACTTTTGTTTAATTTTTTGGGAGTGTCAAGTTAAGAACTATGTTCAAATGTTTCTGCATAGCTGTTAAGCTCGGCTTCATGCTTTTCTTCATGTTACAATCAGTGCTGCTGGATTGTAAGTAAGTAGGTTGGTGATGCTGATGCTTATTTGTTTGCACAGGACACATGGCAATGAATATGAACAAATGAACAATGAACAAACCAAAGATGACCAAAAACAAGACCCTCAACATCAAGAATGGCTTACTAAGTATTTTTCATTTTAAAGCAAACTACTGCCATACTTCTCAGAATTACTATAAAAGTCATTCCTGTTTAGGAATGATAATCCAATAGTTGTTTTAAGGGAAGGAAAAAAAAAAGTAATTTCTAATTAAGGAAGTACCTGCATTCTCTTTCATCTAGTAACTATGGAGTTACAGGCATGAAGTTCAGGAAAATGCTTTTGTTTTTTTAAAACAACTTCTATAAAAAATTAAGGAAAAGTTTGGATACAGTTATGTGAAAAGACTTTTTAATGAAGAGACTATATCACTCCACTATTTCATTAAATTTGGAATTTGGACTCTGAAATGTTCTGTCAATTTGGCACCAGCTGAAAAAAAAAATCTTCCTTCTGTACATTTACATCTGCTTCATCAGCTGTTAATGTAAGTTCTTCATATAATAATGTAATTTTAAAAGCTTTTAATGCTTTTTGTGAAATTAATTTTAAGCTGCACAGCATGTAGTACACCTTCAAAAATATGCTAGCATGTTTATAGCAGGCTGATTCAGAAATAATTTCTGGTTTGCTTCATAAACTGTTTTGTATATTTATAGCTATTTGCTATGTAATATTCCCATTGAATTTCAATATATGTATCAGCCTGATAAATTAGGGTGATATGTAAGTATGAACATTAAAGCTTGTAAATGATCCAATTTCTGTGTTTTTCAAAAGAATTCTCTGTTAATGCTGAAGTCAGACTTGTACACTGAGTTCCAGTGATGACAACTGCACCCTTGTACCTTTTAACTCCATACTAGTTTTATGCCCACATAAAAGTCAAGTGGGGGAATGACCACATTTATCAGATCATGCTAATTCATTGCTGGCAGGAAAGAACCCATGTAGAAGTTGACTCTTGGGTTATTAACCCATGAAGTGTAAAAGGCAGGAAAATGTGCAACCAGCAGCCTGCTATTAAGACAGGACAGTTCTCTTCGGTTGCTTTGAATCCCCATTTCATTTCAACTAACAGGGCCCAGCTACCTAAAAAAATGTTATACATGCAAAGAGATGTACCTCCAGCCTAACCTCTGCTCACATCCAACAGCCAGCAAGAGCTACACCAACAGATGCAATCATTTCAGACAAAACAGCCACTGCATCTCACTGGTGGTGCAAAGGTGGAAGGAAGGGCAGAACATTTCTACATGCCAAAGCTTTCATCCCAGCTATCTAGTATTTTTTCCAAGAGGAACTGTTTGGTTGGAAAAGTGACTTTGGCAGTAGATTTGGCAAAAAGGCACTTTGTATACTTGTAATCAAGAAAGAGATTAAATAGCGTACAGAAACTCTGATGGGTACCTTGGCATCTGTGAGGATGGAAATGTACAGTGCTGTTCTCATTACTTTTCATCCATGCTGCCCCAAGAACACTAGAAATTTCAATACACAATTAGCAATTCTTACTTCCAGGGTTACAACAATTAATTATTCAACTCTGCCCCCCTAAATAAGTATATGTAGAAAAGTGTTATATGGATGAATCTAATTTGTTGCTTAGTAATACACAGGGGTGTTTTGCTATTTCTACCTCCAAAAGCTTTTTCGGCTACATTTAACTTACTAAATAGAGCACTGCAATAGAAGGTAATTCTGTATTCTGCTCAGTGGTGGTGATCCTACCTCCACAATGAGTGGTCTGTATTTTGGGGTAAGTATTTTGGAACACCTCTTCAGTAGCCTGAGAGTCAGAACATCAGTAGCATGAGGCCTGCATTACATATCCCACTCTTTTGTGTGTGTTTTTCCATTTCAATTCATCCCATAAGAACCAAATTTGAATATCTCAAGACACCTTCCATGAGGTGAGCCAGTATGATGGAGAGTGACAATTCACTTCAAAAAAAAGTGATCAGACCTACATACAGACAATTTTAAAGAATGTTTCTGCAGTGGTACTCATGGATAATTACTGGATCACAAAACATTTAAATATTCCAGAAAAATCAAAAACTAATCTTTGCAAATATTTTGATCATATCAAAAAGAGGGGAAAGCAAAGGCCACTCTCTCTAGAAGGAACAAGGATGCATTCTGGGAGACACACTTCTACCAGAAACCCTGAACAGCCGCTCTGAATATTTTCCATTAAAACATAAAACCAATCCATATTTCTGTAGCAAAAGAAAACAAGAAAATTTATTTGGCTTAATTGTTTTAACTATATTTGCAGTATAAATTACATTATACAAAAAGCATACAAAGAACACCATTGCTTTTAAAATATTGAGCTGTGTAAAACTGAAGATTATGTTTGCTTCATTGGAGCAGGAATGTTTGCAGATGCTTGTTCTAGGTAAGCTAATGGACCTTGAGGCATTTCTGCAGGCTTTTTGTGCTGTACACTGATGTCTTCCAGGACCTGCTGCCAGTGTCGCAGCTTACTCAGATGCTTCTGAATTAATGCTTCTTTTCTCTGCAATTCATTTCTTAATTCTGAAACATCCTATGGATGAAAAAATGGTGTATTAGTAAATAGTATTCAAAAGGATAATCACCCCACATAAAGAGTACGTAACATTTTTAGACCTTGAGTTTTCAAGCTGAACTTACAGTGGAAAAAGAGAATAATGGAAAAGTGTCTAATGATACAGAGGGAAAGCACTGTGAATGCACTAGTGCCATTCACCTATGTCACATATTGCAGAGATCACCATCCCCAGCAAAATCTGACTAACTAGTTTGTCTCTTCCAATGAATTATCAGCTGTGTTCCAATACTCCACATAGCAGGTATCCAGCCTCTCCAGGTTCATGATGAGAGTTATGATAACAGCCAAGTTCTACCAACTTAAGGTACAGCATCATGTTGAAAAATCCAAAACTATGAACATGGTGATGAAGGTACATAGCTTATCTGATCTAGCACAGGATAGGTAAATTAACATACCTCTTTAATTACTTGTTCTGGTTTCTGGACTGATAGCTGCAGTCTTTTTTGTAGAAAAAAGCATTCAGTTTGTCTTGCAACATCCAAAAACTTTTGGATGCACTGATCAACACCTAAACATATAATAACAGTATTGAAAGAACAGCTTGCAAAAAAATAGGATTTCAGGCTGGTAATGGTAGTGGTCTATTAAAAACACTTTTCACAGTACCTTCTAGAACGAAAATCATCAGACTATCTAAAATAATGTATTTATAAACCAGTAAGTCCTTGTATAAGACACTGCTTTGCAAATGGACAAGTTATTTTAGAAGTGCAACACTTCCTCCCATGTTTTATTTTATTTCTGAAAAGAAGTAATAAAGTAATTCATGGAACCTGGTTGCATGCCTAAGCAACACGCTCAGTGTAGAGTTCTAAAATATGCATTTATTGAGGAGAATATTCTGCCCTCATTGACTACACACTACTATTTTGGTAATAAAAGTTGTTCCATGCCAGCACATGAATATGATCAAATAACCAGAAAGGAGTTTTGAAAAGCATTTATGCCGAAATCATTGAAACGCCATTTGAGTGAAGTTTCAGAAAATTTTCAGGGACAACGGCACTTCTAAAGGCCCACTTTTTAAACTCCTGTTCACACAATATTTATTCCACCTCCACGGAGGTGGTCACCCAAACCCTAAAGCAGCGCTGCTGAGCGGCCTGGCCTTTTCCGTTCCCTGGAAGTGCTTCGTTCAGCTTCCCAATGCATCACATCACCTCCCTGGTGCTCGAAACGCGTTTCACGCCAACCCAACCTCAGGAGACGCCTGGCACACTCCGACCTTCCCACCACACCCGGGGCATTCCCGGCTCCGCTTCTCTGCAGCCGCCGCTCCCAGCAGCGGCAAGGGGCGCCCTGCTCCCGCCCGGGCTCACCGGTGCGGATCTCCTCCTGGTCCGTGCCGTTCACGTAGTCCTGGCTCACCAGCGAGGCGAAGCAGGCCTGCGGACAGGGAAGCACTGCGCTGAGCGGCTGCGGGGCCGGCGCAGGCAGGCAGCGCCCGCCCGCGGCTGCCCCCCCTTACCTCAAAGGACGCTTCCAGCTCGTCCACCAGCGTGCTGTTGGGGTTGCGCGGCCCCGCGGGCGGCGGGATGAGGCCGGGCGGGCCGGGAGGGCCCGGCGGCGGCGGCCCCGGCGCCTGGGAGCCGAACATTCCGCCCAGCGCGCCCGCCATGGCGGGAGCGGCTGCCGCGCATGCGGAGGGAGTGGGGCGGACCCGGGCGGCCCCGCCCGCTGAGGGCCGGAGCCTCGGGCGGCCGCGGCGTGTGGGGCGGTGCATCGCTCCTCGCACTGTCACTGGGCACCGTCTGGCACCATTGTCCTGGCACCTGTCAGAGATATTGTAATGTATCGAAGTCCCTTCTTAGACTTCTCCAGACTCAACAGGCCCAGCTCCTGCAGTCTCTCCTCATAAGAGATGTTCCACACCGTCCATCCTCACTGCCCTCTCCTGTAGCTCCACGTGTTTCTTGCACTGACCAGCGCAGAACCGGACAGGGCACTCCAGAAATGGCCTCGGTAGGGCAGAGGAGGTGGGAGGATCTCCTCCCCAAGCCGCTGGCCGCACTCCTCCCACTCCAGCCCAGGACAGCACTGGGCCTGCTGGGACAGGCAAGAACAGACAGCAAAGCCATCCTCCCCACAGGGACCCTCCTCCAGCCTTTGCCCTGCTTCAGTCTCACAGGTGCGAGCCTGGCTAAGCACTGTTTCAGCATCCACAACAGCATTTAACAAAAACCCCAAAAACCCACCCTAAACCAAAATAAATCCCCACCTCATGGGCTTGGATCCCCCAAATTGTCAAGAAAACATCATCTCACGTTTTATGTGTCAGGTCTGTCTGATGTTTGAACTGAGTCTGGGAATAATATCCCTGCTTGGAGGGTGGCCACCTCACACCAGGAAAGAGGGGAACTATCGGGATGACAAAAACCATGTGAGATAAGGGCAGGTTCCCCTAAAAACACACAAGCACTAACTTGCACCCACTAGTTTTCTGAAAAAAAGTTACAATTTACAGTTTTTGACATGTTTATAACTTACTACATAATTCTATGCTGAATCCATGCTAATGCTAATCACACAGCATCATTTCTGCCTCAGTACATACCAAAAGCAGTTTAGTTTTTCCAAGGAAAAAATGCCAGAATGGTGTTTCTATGAAAATCTTTGCAGAGTTCTCATTGACACCACCTACTGTTCACTCAAAACTGAGGTACATCTATCATTGATTGTTTATTCTCTCTCAATCAAAACTCACATCCAAATAAAGTATTTATTGTTTATGATAGTTATGCATACTTTGCATATAAAATAGGTGTCTCAATAGTTCCCATTGTGATGTTTTGGTATGAAATATTTCAGTAGTTCAAACAGAATAATTTTTATTTTGCTGCATAATATGGGATGGGATGAAAAATCTCAAAGTTGAGATATCCTTAGCCAAGTAATAATTTATAAAGTTAATTGCCATAGTGAAAATATGCTTGGGGCATTCATTTATGAATGATACCTTTTAGGATTTTGTTTCTTAAGGCAGAGTGGATGAATTTAGAACAAGTATTTTTATTTGGCACTGTGAGTGTCTTGACTTAATCGAGCTGCAAACTCAACAAGCGTTCTGGTGGGCCGCCCCGCCATGCCCTTGCGCAGGTATGGCACCTCATCCTTGTTGGACATGACCCCAGCTATATCCAAATGAGCCCAGTGAGAGGCAGTCACAAACTCCTTCAGGAATGCAGCAGCTGTGCATGCTCCTCCAGCCCTGTAGGAAACAGAAAGATGTATTGCTCCCAAAGCAGTTCCAACAGCACACACATTAAACAAATGGGTTGAAAGAAAGGGGCACATAGAAGGAGTTGGTTCATCTTACCTGCTGTACTTTCCAATGTTGCTCACATCTGCAAGAGGACAGTCTGTGACTTGTTTTGTGTAATGCTCAAAAAGAGGCATCCTCCAAACTCTGTCCCCTGTCAAAATGCTGGCCTGAAAAAAAAAAAAAAAAGATGTTTTGGGAATTTCTTTTTCTAACTGTACTTGTAAGCCCTGTTTTCATGCATGCTTCTTTTTGTTTAGGTTTTACCAGTCTAAAAATCTTCAGCCCAAGATATTAGGTTTTTGGAAATACATTGTTTGCAAAACAAAACAGGCAGTCCTGCTTTTTAGGTACTGTGGTGTCAGCCAAAAGGCAACATCAAAAGACTACATTTTTTATCTGTTTTCCTTTTCCCTGACAACAGAAATCCTTCCCCTCAGAGGCTTCCTTGATCCATCGCACCTCAGCCACTCACAAGGCCTCTCTGAATTTCTGTACCTCTCTTGTTAATTATCTTTTTAACATAGACTAATTACTGCCAGTAGTCCAGAGTTTATGCAAATGTAGTGAGTTATCAGAACATGCAGATCCATGAGATGTTTGGTGTATGATATTACATCTCACTGAAGAGCTAGTAATTAATAGTCAACATTATTTTCAACTAAATATAGTACTGACATCATTCCTCTAAAATTTCAAAAGATAGTAACATCATTCAGATTTGCATAAAGACTTTCAGTAGTGTACTAACTTTTCAATAAGACAAGTTAAATAAATCAGTATCACTGATTTATTGCTATTATGATTTAACAATAATGCAGGTGATCTACCTCATAGAGGTGAGTCCAAAGCCAAGATGAGTTTGTGAACACTCCAGTCGCAGCAGATCCCAATGCAACATCCATGGCACCTAAAGGAACACACCTTCAAGTTTACATGAAATAAGGCAAAGGTAGAACTGAGCTATTCCTTGCATCCTGACTCCTCACAGAACTTTCCATTTTTAATTCCCAGTGTCAGTAACAGGAATTTATCAGACTGCAGAACTTGAAGACTTTAGTATACTGATATTTTTGAAATTCTCAACATTTTTATTACATTTATATATTCTAAAAAACACAAGAAATCATAAAAATTATTCTGCTTTCCATGAAAATAAGTTTTCTGATTTCAGATTGATATTTCTTAGAAATAGTTCTAAGATCATGTATTAAACAATAACATTATTGTCTAAAAAACCCTAGATATTATTATTTTCATATAGAAAATACAAGTGAATGGGCCTTTTCCAGTTTATAGACCTCTACAATTTTTGAGCTGATACTTTCTTTTTTGTGAATTTCACTTACACAGACTTTTGCACATCATGTGTAAATTTACTTGATTAAATATTTAATTTATTAAAATAATCATTATCAAAATATTAAACCATAGGATTAGATATTTATCTATTTCATGCCTCAGAACTGCTCCTCTAATAGCAACACTTAATCCTTAGTGAGATGAAAATAAGGAAAAGTAGTTTAGCAAAATATGTCAAAGAAATTTCTATGGGAGCCCTCCTTCTTCCTGCTTGGTGCCCAAGGAACCCAGATAGGAATACTTTTACACAAGCCAACAATCTTAAAATCAGTTTCCCTTCTGTCTATTGAAATTTTCCACAGCATTTGAACTGGTAAAACTGATGGAACATAATTTAAGGCATTAGCAGAGAATCTATGTAAGCATAATTATTTTGCTTAACATATTAATTAAGCAACAGAGTAGAGTTCTGTCTGAATTACTCTTCCGTGTTTGCTTTTATTTCAGCTACAGTCACCTCACCCATGACAGCCTGTTAGTGAGTTCATGCATACAAAATTGCTGGTTTTAAATTTAAATTTACAACTTCATTATTATACAACTGTAGAGATGAAGCAATTAAAACACACTTCATAATGCCTAAAAGTATGCAAATTACACAAAAAAATACTTCAGTCGAACAAATTCCTGGGGAATGATGACATCGTGGAGGCCTGAGCCAGCTCCCAGGGTGGGAGAACTGGCACTGGCAGGGTCAGAGCTCAGGCACCCAGCAAGGCCTTCAGGAACCTGCCTGGGCTCTGTGCCAGAGGGACTGGGCAGGACTCCTCCAAGAACATGTCACCACCTCTGCATCACACAGGCCTGGGAGCTGAGAGGGTTCAGCTCAGAGATGGAAGAAGCACTGGGAAACACTGTGCACAAACATTGATGTCTGTGTAGGTTTGCCTGCTCTGGGCTCCAGCTGGGCTGAGCCAACCCAACTTCATCTCCACTGATGAGCATGTACCCTGCACGTCCCCTCCCCACTCCAGAGTCACACAAGCTGCTGTCCTGAAACATGTAAAATCATCTCATTGCCTTTGAATTAAAGGGGGGTGTATATACACAGCACAACTAATCCACAGCCCAACTAATGAGTAAGGCAAAACTGCTCAAAGTGAGCAGGGAAGGAACACTGCTTACCTGTTAATGTTGCAGCATTCACAATAGCCCTTGCATTAAAATTGTGGGCATAACAGAGAGCATCAGCTAACAGCAGTCTTCCTTCTGCATCTGTGTTATCTACCTTCAAAGGCAAAATCAGTAAAAAACAGATAAAGTACTGTCAACACCTCTTTCACTGATGTATTTCTCACATATTATCTTAAATAGCTGCTGGATAGAGATCCTAGAAACCTCAGGTAATGAAAATTTACTCAAACTACATTGAAAAGAAGAAAGAAAAAATACAGCATTGATACACAGTTATGTGTATAAAGTAAAAGTGTATCTGTAGCTGATGTCAGTCATCCTTCAGCACTACAACCTCCTTGCATGCTGGGTCTCTGTACTGCTGGCTCCTCAGAAGAGCCTGGAGACTGGAGAGGTGTCTCAGGGGAGCACAGAGGCTGCAGCATGTGCTTGGAGCTACCAGCACTTACTTGCAGATTTCTTCTTGGTGGGGGAATACCCGCCCAGTCTTTTTCCCTCAAAGCAGAGGGTGACTGAACTCAGTTTGCAGAGATGAATGTGAAAAAAGAGGAAGGTTCAGCGAGTCAAAAGTGGCAGAATCACAGAAATTCAGACAAAAAGAAAGCCATCTACTTCTGCATTAAATCAGTTATCTACAGCACAAGGACCTTCAGTACAATTTAATCTCTTAGATGAGTATGGAACCATTTGTAATAAATATGAAATATGTATCTTGGGTACTGATTTGGCAGGCTTCTTTGGACCAAGAGCCCCTATGACTCAGAGTTCTGATTGTACTGAGCATTTTGGCAATGTAAAGACCGTGTTACATCAGCAGGAAACTGATGTCTTTCTCTGATGTCTTACTCCAGATAGCAAAGAATTTGCCTCAAGAGTCTGCTGTAAGCACTTATAGTTATTTATTTG